GGAGCCCTTACAACTTCCCATCGTCGGCCATAGGGTGAGATCCAAGGGCACTTGGAGCAAGAATGCTACCTGAAGAAGGCACTTGTTTCAGTGATCCGGGAAGAGGTCTGAGTCCCAGGACTGAGCTTGTTGAGTCTGCTGCGCTAGAGAGCTTTGACCTTGAGTAGTCTGAGTCTGCTGGGTGGTCTGAGTCTGCTGAGTCTGAGCAGAAATCTGAGTTGCTTGAGTGGCTTGGGAAGTCTGCTGAGTTGGCTGAGTGGCTTGAGTTTGAGTCGCTGGAGGAACAGTTTGGGTTTCTGGGGTAGTTGGAACCGCTTGGGTTTGGGTAGTTGGAACCGCTTGGGTGGTTGCAGCCTTAGTATTGGCTTGTTGAGTAGTGGCTGGAGTATCTTGAGCAGTTGTCGTTGGCTCGTTGGTTACTACCGTGGAAGTAGTTGGGGAACCAGCTGGAGATTCGGTGTGAGTAAAAGTGTACGAAACACCATTGGAAATGAAAATTTCAACTGGAGGAAGCAATAAAGTTGTGGTTCCAGTTGTGACTGTATTAACTACTGTCACTGGGTTCGCGGTATGGTACCGAGTGAGAATGGCAGGCAAAGGAGCTGCAATGGCCCATCTGTACTATGAGAAGGAATGTAAGTATCTGGATCATAGTAATTGTAAGTGATTGTAAAAGATTGTGGATTTGAGTATGTTAACGAATGTATTCAGTGGTCGTAAAAGAGTGACAAGAACCTATGGCTCGGATAATAAAATTGTTCGACAAGATACAATTTGCAACCATGGCCAATTTATATATCGCTCCACCGGTTTTGTCAAGATCTGCTGGCTGCTGGTCGAATTCAGGCAGTTTCGAGCCCAAACCGATAGCTGCGAATTCCTTCTTAGCCTGGCTGCGATCCTAATTCGGACGCAGCCAGTAATCTCGTGCGGGCTGAGGTTTCCCGTTTGGGTAGAACATTTCCGCGACTTTCACTTCAACTGCTGGATGTTGTGGTGTATGGGTGTTTTCATCAGGACCATGATTGCGAAGGCTTGCTGATCCAGATCAGATGCAAGGGGGAAGGCATGTATTAGTGCAGATATATGTAAACTATGCGGCTGGGGCGACACAGCCGAGATGGAACTAGCCTTCCAACAACTCGATGATTGCTTTGTATTTTTCGTCCGTAAGCACACCAGCATTATTAATGTACTTTAACAACGATTTAATGAGAAGGGAAATTTCGGTAACGTTCAAGTTCAAGATGGCCAGTTGTAATATCTTGCCAATGCTCATTGTGTTTGTAGAAATGAATGTTTGATAGTACAAGTAACTGAAAGATCCCATGAGAAATTGACAATCCATTCTGTCGGTGATTCCTCCATGTCCTGGAATAGTATCACCAAAGTCTTTAATACCAAAAGCAAAAATTCAATCCACTAGCGAAGAA